GGCCAATGTGTAAGCCCAAGTTGGTATACTTAATTTAAGAAATGAAGCCCATCCAGTCACTGTTGCTAATATTATCAAGCGACGAATAAGTTGGCGTTTCAGCAGCAGATTATGATATTATTAAGGGGGCGGTTATATTTATTATTATTTTAACTTTATTATTTTTACTACCTGTTCTGAATGCATACCTTAGGCCCACCGGTTGGATCTAATCTCTTGAAGTCCACATCTAGAATTTTTTAGATGATACCCATGGCAAGTCATAGAGGCTTAGCACTGGTACATTTCTCTTTCCTGTACTGCTGCCCCTATACACAGACAGTGGGCAGCATGCCTTGTCTCAGGACAAGACATGGCTTGATGAGACAGTTAATGGGACTGACCAACGGTCTTCCATACTAAAAAGGGCTCTCTTCTCTAAATACCCCCTTACACATGGAGGGAGATCTTCTTCTTCACTCTCTATCTATGTTGTTACTCTGCCCCTGTAGAGACATCTTTGCCATACACACACCCACTTATGCACATTATGGGAAGCCTCTACAATGTTTTGGTCTCTACCATTGTCACTATGAGTATCCCTATATTAACGTATTTCACTTTTCATGGGACACATCTACCCTGCGGTACACTACCTATTCTTATTGGATCAATTTGAATTCAACGGTTGAAAAAGAGAAAAAAATTACCTATCGTCATTGATTTTAAATTCAAATTGATCTAATGATAATCAAACAAGTAGTAAGAGTAGTAAGGCTAAAATGATAATAAGTATACCTTTTTCAATTATTAAAATTTATAAAAAGGATTAATTATTACGTTTATCCATCATTTTCCAACTCTTGTGTGTCAACTAATTAAACAGACATTAGGGTTGTGCTTGTTTCCTACAGTTTGAGGGCAACAACGATCTCCTGGATTCTGGAACGTCCTGTAAACACCTACCTATAGTTGAGTGTCATTGTAACATTATAAAAGAAAAGAAAAATGAAGAAATATTTCTTCTGTTGCTGCAGAAATATTTTCCCCTGCACCTGACTTAAAAGAAAAAAAATTTTTAAAAAAAAAATGGTGGACACCACCTTTTTTTTCTCTCTATTGCACATCTCCAACTTTTGTAATAACAGCAAGAGTTGAAAACACAAAGAAATATATATATATATATATAAGTTTTAAAGTTTCTAAAATTAGATAACTTTATCTAATGTTCATCAAAATACACAAATAAAAATATGTGGGGCTAATATTTTCTTTTTCTTTTTCTTCTCTTCAAATGGATTTTATGGACCCCACATATTTTTTTTATGTGTATTTTGGTAAATATTAAATAAAGTTATCTAAAGTAATTTTAGAAGCTTTAAACCCATATATATAAGGAAAATATTTTTTTTATGTTGTAGGAAAATAGTTACCTCATATTGTAAAAATAAAATTACAAATGGGACCTACAGGTAAGGGAAGAGAGAGAAAAATAATGGTGAAATCCACCCCTCTTTTGTGTGTGTAGAAAAATTGTTTTTATCATGTAAAATAAGATAAATATAACCCTATATATAATCATGGAATCTTCGAAACTTTTAATTGGTATTATTAATTTTGAAATTTATTATTTAGTTCTTAAATTATTATTATTATTATTCTATCAATTGGTCCTTCACATTAACATACATATTAATATATAATTTAACCTTTTATTATATAGTATCGTTAATTAAGTTATTTATTAAAAAATTATCTCATATATATATATATATATATATATATCTCTTTATAAAATAGATGAAATTAAAAATAATTATATGGATAATATAATCATAAATTATATAATGACACGGCAGAATGATTATTTGATTGCAGATCGAAGTCCTAGTTTGTGATTTGCTTTCCTCCGCTGTCAGGGCTCTATACACGGAAATGGGTTTCTTGTGCCATGGGGAGGAGATGTAGAATTAGGGAATAGAGTTGTTTTCTTTTGTTACAGACACCCACATTCTTTAATTATTTGTCAAATAAGGATAGAATGATTATATTGTTCGCTGTTCTTCAATTTTTGTTGTGGACCAAAGGAGATACGGAAGAAATCAAGAAATGTATAGAAAACTTTGCTTGAGTATAAAATGGATGGTGAACCTGGCTTTGTTGGGATATTTAATGATAGGAATTGAATGAAATTGAATATGATAGAATTAATGGAATAAAATTATTATATTATTATTTGGATATATTATGATAAAATATGGAAGAAGACTAATTAGTTGGTCCATCATGTACTTCCAAATATGAAAAAAGAAAAAGTTAAGAGTTACTGGATGAAATGAGATGGGTTCCGTTCCATACCAGCTTATTTCAAACAATTGCAACTAATTTTATGTCCCTCCATGTCATCACTTTTTATCAATCCAACCGTAGCCAAAGTGTCTTGCTCGTGTGTTCTTTTCTCTTTCTGGCCCTTTTTTGCCTGAGGTCATACAATTAAGCAGAGCTAGCTTTAATGTTATATGGCTGCAAACCGACTTCACATAACACTACACAAAAATTTAGTTGAAAAAGTGTGATGCATGATATGCCTCTTGTTGCCGCTAAAGGGTTTTACGTATTCCATGCCTCAAAAAGCTTCAAAGATCTTACTGGATTCGCAACTAAATCCCTTTCTATCGATAAGGAATAGAAGCAGTACTTGTGCTCTGTGGGATACATTAATAATATAATTCAATAATATGTTTATGTATAAGTCCAATAGGTGAAAGCATGGTTATTTTGATCCATATAGGCTGAAGTCCAATAGCAATTATTATATCTAAGGTTTGTTAAGCTGGAGGTAACACTGTTAAACATTTCAATCTATATTTCTTTGTCTCTTGGTGTAATACTTCAAGCACGTCTAAATCTTTATCTGTCAAACTCGTTATCTCCAACATGCTCTCCTCGCGTATATGGGACCATCTCAAGAAAAAGCGTCCATCCAAATTAAACTCGCGAATGTAAGCCTTTTACGTTTGTTCAATCATCGCAATCAAAATTAACAGATCAAAGTGAAGCTTGTGGTTGTTGAATCCTAGTTTTCTGTTCTCGGTTAACACTCGTGCGCTTGCCACAAGCTATGTGGATCATATCATATTTCCATAATCTTTTAACCTCACACGGAAGCGGTCTTATATAACCTTCCCCCACATTCACATGGGGGAATCACATAGATACTGACAAATTATTGTAGAATATATATGATAAAACTTCAATTCATTCAATGATAAGTTATGTGACATATTTTCCGGTACGTAAATATTTGACACTTTTATTAGCGAATGTAATAAATATTTGACACTTTTATTAAACTTTTTGTAATCATAAAACAATTTCATCCAAGCACCAGACTATACTTAGTGTTGAGATATTGTTGGGTTTGCTCTTTTACTAAAGCCCAAATGAGTTATTAGTATGAGAAGAGCCCAAGGAACCTAGAGCCCAATGAGCTAGGGTTTCTTGGAACCCATATAAATAGTACCTCTTAAGTCATCAGCATTCCAAGGTCTTTTTTGTGAGAAAGAGGCAAGCTCAGAATCTAATCAGTGCCCACACACTTCCCCTTCCTCCTCGAGAGATAGTTTGGAAGATCTGCCACAGTCCAGCTTCAAGGAGGTTGTTCGTGCTGCGGCGCTGAGGTGAGCTGTTCGTGAAGAGGAATCCTAACACGAGACCTGCGCACCGAGAGGTAATTGTGAAACAAGGATGATTCGGTAAGCATATCAATGTACTAGGTTCTAAACCGCTTCCGCATAAATCTAAGATTTCCTACAGATATATAGTTCCACATTGATTGTATGGGTAATTGATGTGACCTTTATAAGGCCTTACACACTCACACCTTTTGAGCTAGCTTTTGGGGTGGTGTATCCCAAAATTCTTGACACTTAAGGACATAATGGAACAGGTTACTGGTGGACCGGGCCTGGTGTGATAGAAGTATGGACTTAGGGTTTGGAGGCCCGGGCCACTATTAACTACGGTGACGACAACCGAATAATTATGCGTTATTTACGAATTAAGTGGGTTCAAACTTCAAAATATATACTCTCCTAGTTGCAGGGTCGCAGTTTGGCACAGTCTATGGTTTCTCATAATAATTCTTCTTAACGGACCCGTTCATTCTTTGTTTCTCTATGCAATTTGATAGTCATATCCTTCTGTCTGTCTGTCTCTGTGTCCATAGATAGATAGATAGCTCCATAAAATGCTCAGAGAAAGATAAAGCTGTACAAGAAGATAAAGCTAAGAGAAAAAAGAAAGCCAAACTTACCGTACAAGTTGTCAGTGGCTTAAGACCGAGACGGCTTCAGTGGTCCCCACATAGATCTCTGTCGAGAGTGGTGTACACCCTCACGCGCCATAATCAGAATAATATCAGAAACAGGTCACACTGTCTATTAACCTTAGGCTAAAAATTAGGTCATTAATGCATCACAGATTCATAGAAAATGACCGAGTGACTTTTCTTTGATGCACAGGATTTGCCCTGGCTGATTCTCTTGTTCTTGAATGTGGTCAATGAAAAAGACTAAAATGGTTTAGTACTCAAATCCTTCATATATTCCAAGCCAAATATGACAATTATGAGAGTTGGTAGTTGCATATGATTAACACTGTTATTTCTTTTATTATGTTTAGTTACGGAAAAACTTAACTTCCATTATCATTATTATTATCTTTTTCTAAAGCCAATCATTCAATTAGCAAATAAATGAAAGAATGTTTGTGTGAGATGGACAAAATAACATAATCATAATTAATTAGTCAGTGTCAGTCCATTAAGTTCCCAACATGACATGTGTCAAGTTGGGAACAACTCTTGACTGAGTACAGTACGAGACCATTACATTTTCCCACTGATTAACCTTAACTAACTCAACATACAGAGCTTAAAACTGATTATAGAAAGATAATCAACTAAGCAAAGCTATCATATTCAAATTAATAAGTTGAGTAGGGAGCTAGGACATAAGCATTCAAGCGAAATCTGGAGATCTGCCAGTGTAGGAGTTGAGACTAAGCTCCAAGGAAGTACGAGAAACGTTCTTGAACCCATCTTCGGTCTGATACCAGCCACCACCATAGTTAGAAGAATTCGAATTGAGGTTGTAATAGCCATGGATATCCTCACCGTGCATAGGGAACAAAGGGAGGGTTTCAATCTCAGGGGCACTATCATCTTCTTGTTCTTCTTCAAGGGTTTCTTCAGTTGTCCTTATTTTGTCAAAGAAAGTGGCGTAGGCTGAGGAATAGGGGTCCACGCCGACCCATCCCAAGTTGTGGTTTATGGCACTTCCAACATGGCCACTGCTGCCTCCAGCTGATATTGAGCAGTCCTAAAAAAAGGGTTCAAAACAAATGAAGGATCATGAAAACTTGATTGAAATGCATGCTTCAAACTAATTTGCAGAAAAGATCTCTAAAACTAGTAACATGTTACGAGATAACTAGTGAACTCCTTGTTTAAACATGCTACTTCCTCTCTCAAGTTGCTGGCTTCAAGAGAAATGTAACTTTAACTTCATGAAAAGTTTTCCTTTATGCTTAACTTTGTCGTTTTAGAAGAGTTTCAAGAGACCAATATTGTGGTTCTTCCTTTTATGGAAGTTTCAAGTATTGAACAATGTAAATGCGTGAATTGTCGCTCCTTTTTGTTGTTAAATAAGATATCACATGGGTCATGAAATACAGTGGTAGACTATCACGTCCTTGTGCACTCTCCAATCTCACACGGATCCATAAAGTCTGTGATGATGGATCATGTATATATGCTTTCCGTTTCAATGCATTACAAAACTACATAAGCTAGGAATTCATTTGGGAAAAAAAAAATTAAAAATTATATTCAGGTCCATATAAAGTTCCAGAGTAATCCTAACTTACCCTAAAACTCTTTTCCATGGGCACAGATCCATACCCATAAGTACCCATCTGACCAACAGTAACCATCTCAGCAGAAGAAGAAGACGCCGAAGTGATCCCTATAAAAACATGACAACAATATAAGATATACGTCCAATTAATTAGTTCCTCTTAAAAGGTCCAGAGCTAATGAAGTAAGTTAAGAGAGAGAGAGAGAGAGAGGTTAAGATATGGTTGATTTACCGGCAGATATGTTGGAATACTTGGTGTGAATGGGGTCTTCAGGTTTCCAAGGAGCATTAGTTCCACCTCTTTGCATGGGAACATCAGAGGTGAACCTCTTCTTCTGCCTTTCTCGAGCTTTGTGGTTTTGGAACCAATAAAAGACATTCTTGCCTTCAATCTTACCATACTGTCTCAGCCTAGCAGAGATTCTCTGAATCTGTTCTGCACTTGGGGATCTAATTCCATTGTTGTAGTAAAGGTCCTTCAATATTCTTATCTGGTCTGTTGTGGGAGTCCACCGTGTACTACTTTGCCTGCTCAGAAATCCCCCTTTTCCACTGCCGCCATCCTCGTTTGGTGAGTGCTGTTGTTGTTGTTGAGGTTCCATGATGGACTCAAAACAAGAAGAAAACAAAGAGAAGCAAACAAAACAATATTGTTGGGTTTTGGATAAAGAGAGGGAGAGAGAGTAGAGGTGTTAGGTTAGGTGAGGGAGAGTGCGTGAATTGGAGGGAATAAGAAGGGGATGATGGGGTTATAAACTTATACTAGGGTGGGAAAGAAGAGGCACATGGTACATGGAGTGATAAAGAGAGAAAATCACAGAAAATATCTGGGAGAGAAGGACTGAAGTTGACAGAGTGAAGTTCATAAAAAGGGAAGGGACAAAAGAGAGCTTAGAAAGTGAGGGTACCACCAGGAATTACTTGTATGAAAAGGCATGACCAGGTATGAAATAAAGCATTTTTCCACACATACACACAGAGAGGCGGTGAGAGGTAGAAAAATGAGGTATGAAATGATATATATTGGATGGAAGGAAAGAAAAAAAAGTAGATGTTCTGAATGAATGAATGAATGGCAATAGAATGATGCGGGTTGTGATTTGGGAGTTCAATAGGTTCTTCTTTTGATGGAGATATCACACATGGCCCCTACATATATTTTTTTTATTTTTTCAACTTTATAATTAAGTCGAATCAGCAAGCTACAAAGATATTCTTGTACTTACCTGAAAAATGTGAAGGGTAAAAATGTATTTGTGAACTTATTATCTATCTCATGGGTCCCAACCAATACATAAGCCGTGTTTCCATTAGGGTTTTTTTTTTTTTTTTTGTTGCTCTGCATATGGTCCGCATATTCTATAGGTATTTCAGGAATTCTAATTGTACTTCTGAGTCAGTGGGAGGACTGATAAATGTTTGGGCTTGATGTGCAATGAAGACTACATTGTGGTTTGGATGGTACACCCAATGTGACAAAGATTTTCAATATATATACAGTCTCTTGAGAAAAGAGATTCAAAAGGCCTATTATAATTATTTTGGCACAAGCCTGAATTATCAGTGCTGGCCAATGACCGAAAAACAGAAACAAAAACAGAAAAATAAGCCACTTTTGTTTACACGTAACCTTTTAAAATTGTTTATCCTCAACCAGAAATAAGTTTCAGTTTCTTCTTGCTTTCTCTCCATCAAGATCACACAAGGAGGTTACGATTCTCTCTATCTGAAGAAAAAGAAAATAGAGAGACAAATAAGATAGGCTCGAACGAAGAGAAAATCTTAAACTCTGTATAGTGAGTCTATTGAAACGGTTTAGTTAGAAAAAATAAGTTAGTTGTCAAATAAGCTAATTAATAACCCTTTGCTTTCTCTTGTCTCTTTTCTCTTTTGTCTCCATGCGTAGCCCACAAAATCTCCCATCCCAAAATAAAACCAACATTGTTATTCATACATAATTTTAATTTATATTATTTGTATATGGAAATATTTACGTCAAATTTATGATTGATCAAAGCAACTAATTAACAACCCATTTGGGTAGTACTATAGTGTTCGGATATATTGTTCTCCATAAACCAATCGGATAATTTAAATATGTTGATATTTTGTACCTCAATACGCTATACCTAGAAAAAATAAAATAAAAAATCAACGAGCCATGCAAATTTAGGCCGTATTTATTTGAATTTTTCATAAACAGATTATATGTCACCTTATAGTTAAGCTGAAGGTGAACAATTTAAAGAAGTTCACAAATATTAAACACAACCATTAAAATAATATGCAAGTAGTTTTGTAGCTAGCTAGGGTACAAATGTAAAAGTAAGTTGATGAAATTGTGATGGCTACAGGTCTCTGTGCGACGGAGCACGCGCCCCAAAAATTAAATGCTTTGGCATTAAATGCAATGGATGTCATGGTTTCTGGAGCTTTTTCTGTGTTTATCTTCGTGTGAGATCAGAACTCGAAAGCTACATCATTTTTTGCCACTGCCGCTTAACCTGCGGTTCAGCTTTCAGCGTTTTATGCTATTTGCTCTGTAAGCAACCCTTGAAAGTGAGTGAGCGCAGTGAAAAGATGTGCCCGAGCAACTGCTGCAATGTATATATATTTAGTACCAGTCTGTAAAAAATATTACTACCCAAAACTGAATTCATCACTCCAAACAATTTATTGATTCAAGCCATGAATCTTACAACCTTGATCCTTATCAATTATAAGTTAACTTCACTGGGGTATCCCTAATTGTTAACAAATAAGCAAATTGAAGTTCGTGATATGAGTGTGTGTGTGTGTGTATGCTTCATTAGGGCAATTGTGATATAGAATATATATAGCTCCATGTTGCCTCTTGCTCGGTGTTTTTAATTAAAAAATAATTAGATGTTTCTTAAAAAGCAATATGTATATAAGCAAATGAACATACAATTAAAAAAATAATAATAATAATAATAACAAGGCTTTTGTTTTATTTTATTTTTCTCGGGTACGTATATAATACTCTACGGTAAAGTAGTACAAGTTTTACATAAAAACGAACCAATCAGGGAAACTAGGGTGGAAGGAACTGTTCAATCTTTCCTTGAATTCATTCAGTTGTAACAGTCTCGTTCATTTGATAGTTGATACAAAACAAAACATTGGAAACGTTATTCAATCCTTCGTGTACGTGTCTTTACGTTTCAACTTTTCAGATTGCATAATTTGCTTGATTTTGACACCGCCATCATGAGATTTGGCTTTCTTTATCATGCATTTACATGGCATTGCTTGGAGCTTCCCCTCTCTCTAGCTATCCCTGCCTTTCTCACCCTTTAATTATTTTAAAAATTCATTGGCCAAATGGTCACATTCTTCTGTTAGATTTACCTTTTATATGCCTTATTTTCCTAGCAAAGTCCTTCATCTTTCATCTCTATCTCTATCTCTCTTATCCGAAATCCTGAGCCGCTTACCTCATAAGGGAGTGCCCTAGCTAGAGACCTCACAGCCGCAGTGGTACACTTCCTAGTCTTACGGGTAATCATCTAATTTTCCACCCGTATCTCTAGAGATACATCACAAAGATCATTTCATATCTCTCTATCTAGACTTCTACTTCTACTTGTCTCATTTTCTTTTTCCTTTCTTTCTTTCCATGTTTTAGATAGTGACTTTGCAGCCATATAGAGTAAAATCCTAGCCATACAAGCTTTTTCGCTTCTCATTTTGATTTTGTTCATATTCTGTACGATCATTTTCAAAGAATTAGATTCAAATAGGATATGGCCTTTTTAATTTGTATTGTGTACAGAACTGATTTCTTACATATATTCTTTTGCAATACGGCTTTGAAGGTTTTGAAGGCAATGGTTACTTTCATGAGTTTAATATCCTATTTCATGTGTGATATGATTGTAGACTTGACCCTTATTTCCAATCAATTAAGCTTTGGCTTATAACTCAAAATAACCATTGGAATAGGAATTGGGGGGGGGGGGGGGGGGGGGACCACACCCCAGCCATAAATGTTTGAATTATGATCACTACAATTATATTCTTAAACCGTAGATAAATTCAACCTTTTAAAATTTGTTTAATAAAATTTTAACAAAAAAAATGGTTATTTCAAAAGTTTTGGATATAAATATGATACCAAGCTTGAGAGAGCCTCGCTCGGCCCACATTTGGTAGTTTTTTTTTCTAATCCTCGGCAAAATATTGATATTAATTGATACAAATTTTAGAAGAGCCTCGTCCTAAAAGCTAACTCATAAGGTGGGTGACCCGAAATCTATATAAACTACACATTAGAAGTTTATGTTTTCGTTATGGGACTCTATCTCGTATCTTGCAATTGAATCGTAACAAAATATTATTTTTTTTCCTCAATCAAATATCTTTGTCACTCATTTCATGTATTTTTTACTAATTTAATATGTAAGTGTGATTCTTTTTGTGCATTATTAAAACATTTTCTTAAAATTACTTATGAATTAATATATCTAAACATAAATGATATTTTTTTATAGTTGATTTTCTTATAAAATTGATTATACACATGATTAACTTTTAACATATTAATTTTTTTACATAACTAATCCAAACAAACACTAAATACAACAAATATTTTATTAGAGGAGTGCAAGATGTGTCTTGCTTTTAATCTAAAAATGTAGCACCGATCATTAACCAAACAAAATGCAGAGAGGGTTTCCATTAAAAGCTCTAATTAACTTTGCTGTTGGAGATTTTTTTAATAACTTATGTGAGATTTTTTTACTAAGTGCATATATTATACGGACTAAATTCAACAATTTTTTTGACACGAGACTGATCAATTTAGTTTCATTTGCGGATACCAATCTATATCTGATTTCCTGATTGGTTTCTATCTACTTTTTGCATATTGCAGGAAGACATAACATACCTGGGAGGGAATATATATATGGTAAAAATGTTTATCTTTTTAAATGACACAACTTATATCCTTTCACTCTCACAAAGAGGTGGGACCCACACCTTTTTTTTGCCAACTCTCTCTCCTCCTTTATCTATCTCTTTCTCTTTCTTAAAATGACACAACTTTACATCCTTTAAAATGACACACATTTTTTCCTATATATATATGTGTGTGTGTGTGTGGAAATAATGAATATTCTGGACGATCCAGTGCACTATGTATTTCCGAAAATACATAGTTAGAATAAATATTATAATAATGTACTTCCAGGAGTACATAGTTATAATATTTACTATAACTATATACTTTCGGCCAGGAGTACATAGTTATAATAACGTTCTTGTGGAACCAATGCACTCTACGAAAAGAACATAAAGGTTCAACGATTTTGATGATAACAAACAAGCATGGAAAGAAAGCTTCAAGGTGCAACCATAAAAAAGAAGTCTAAACAAGATCAAGACTCAAGCTTCAAGAGAAGTCTCTAAGTCCAAACTCAGAGTAATATACTATAGGACTTAGGATTATTTGTAAATTAATTCCTTACAAGAACGAAGCTCAAAGTATTTTTCAAATACATGCATTAAATCATCATTTGACATTCAATACATTCCTAGCATGAAAACATAGTTTTCAATATTCATAAAATGTTTAAAC